GGGGAAAAAAGCAGCCATCTTGGCTAGCCTTGTCTTCCAGGGCTCACTCAAGCCTGGAGAAAACCTGTTCGCCACTTGCAGACAAATGTAGCATGCTAATACAGACCTAAGCGCTGGCCAGGCCGGCCATACAGCAGAGAATTATTTTCTTCATGTTAAAAACATTCCAATGGGCTGGAACAAACAAAATTAATTTAACAACTCTGCATTCATCTCTCCCATAATTTGATTTGTATGTTGTATTTGGCTACGTAACATCCACGAGGCTTTCCTCACTGAAGCCTGATAAAGCTTAATCCAAAAGCTGCTGGCAGCTCCACTTCAGAGAGCTGAAAGACAAAAAGGGGGCTCATTGTTTTACAAAAAAGAACCACTGATATTAAGACACACCCATGAATGCAGAAGGACATGTAAGAGAATATTACAGCTTCTTTTTTTTTCAAGAGCAGTCTACATTTCTGTTTCAAAGACAGAAACACAAAACCAGCCTAACTTTCTAGGTCTCATCATGCTTTTTGCATATGCTACCTTTGGTTATAAAAAGGGAAAGTAAGAAAGAGCAGAAGAACCTTATATTTGGCTATTTCTTCTATACCTCTCCCTGTAAAACAGGTGCCTCATATGATGAACCCAGTGGTACTGGGCTCAGAGGGATTTAAAAAATCCTCTAAAAAATGTTCTAAGTTAGCTCTTCCATGCATAAAAATGGCACCCCTGTAAAGGCAGTTATTTCTAGCTGTGCTATGCCCTCGTTTGGAAAATCCCACTCCCTCCCCCCTGCTGCATGTCTCAGCAATTCAAAACAGCCGTTCCTCCCCTTGGTACTATGAGATACACATTGTGTGATGAAACCCTGACAATTCTCAGCCCAGAAAAGCAACGTGCCATTGAAGTCCTGAATCCCTCATGGTGAGATGGGCAGGGATCTTCTGCGTAGGTGGAGGGAGGAAACATCGGCATCAAGATGTGCCCATAGGCCATTACTGGATCAGGACTGCTCAGATGCAGCTAAAAGACAGGGACAAGGGTCTTGAGTCTGGGCGGCAGCTCC